TGAGAGATAATACTGGTGATAACGATCTTGTCATGGAGTGTCTTTTTTTAGCCAGTTTGTCGCCATGGTTAGAGATGACTACAAATGCTGTGAATGCAAAGCTCTCATTATACAGTCACACAGTACGTGCTTTTTTAACAAAATTTGTAAAATACATTTTCAATGTGTGATAAAATAATTTGTTATTTCAACCTCTCCTGTAGAAGGCCCCATTATTAGTTCCATCATTATTCTTACTGTGTTGATCAGAGGGCTGAAGCAGAGAGATTGGATTCAACAGCTTGTGAAATATTTGTTACTGAAACAATTGTGGGCAAGTCAAACAATTTGAACATTACTTCGCAGGTCTGGCTCTGGCCTGCTACATACAGCTGAAGAATCTGAACACGTCAGTTTAGGATATGTACTTGTTATTTGGGACTTTTAAAAAAATCCATTATAACAATGGATAGTAATTTCCTAGGGTTGACAAAAATGTGATATGATATGTGTAGCCCAAATGGGCATCTGAAAACTACTGGCTACTATTTGGTTGCATGACTTTTGCCAACCAACTGTATTGGTCATTTATTGCTGTGTAACAAATGACCTCAATTTTGTAGATTAATAAACATGTCTCTACTATCTCTCTCTGCCTGTGTGTGTCGGTAGCCTGGGCTCAGATTCCATTATACAACTGTATAAGGCTTCTCAAATTGAGGAACATACCACACAGCACACTCACTAGTGCTCACTGGCTGAGAACTCTGTATACATGTACTCTATTGCGCATACTTGAGAAAGATATGCAGTAATGGTACAATCCATGGCTGTCCTGCACAAAGCTAAGTATCTGTGTAAGGAAGAATGGCCTGCTCTTGCTACTTCTATTAAACATACTAGAAGTCTAGCAATTAGACAACAGCAAGCAGTAGCAGGCATTCAAACAAAAACAAAAAGGAAGAAAATTGAGTATTTGCTGATAATATAATCTTACCAGATAATAGTCCTTAAAAGATTCAACTAAAAACTTGTTAGATCTAATAAATAATTCAGTTAAGGTTCAGAAAACAAAATCAATGTGTAAAATGAGGCAGTGATTCTGTATACTAACAACCATCTAAAACACTTTTTAAAAAACTGTAACAGCTCAAAAAAGAAAATCACATGTGAAGAAATATAGTCAAGAAGGTCAAAAATCTCTGTTCTGCTGTTTGTGTAAGGGTGTGTGCAGGTGTATGGTATGTGTGTATGTGTATGTGTGTCTGTGTGTCTGTGTGTGTGTGTGTGTGTGTGTGTGTGTGTGTGTGTGTATGTGAATGCAAGAGGTCAATTTCATGTGTCTTTGCTCAGGAGCCAGCTGCCTTGTTTTGCTTTTTTCAGACAAGGTCTCTCATTGGCTGCAGCTCACTGAGTAGACAAGTCTGGTTGGCCAGTGAGCCCCAAGGATCTACCTGTTTCTGCCCCCTCAGCACTGGAATTACATGCATGAGGTACCAAGCCCAGCTTTTCTAAAATGAGTTCTAGGGAATTAACTCATGTCCACATGTTTGCATAGCAAGCACTCTTCTGACTGGGCTATCTCCCCAGGCCAAAAGATCCCCGCTCTTAAGATCATTAGCACTGGCCCTATCCTTCTTCCCTGTTCCAAGTTCTTCCATCATAGCCTTGCTCCTCACTCATGCATTCTTTCATCCTCACTGTACACACACCACCCTTGTCTGACTATTCTAAGCAGCTAACAACGGTCTGTAACTACAGTTCCAGGAGATCCAGCACCCTCTTGGTCTCAGCAGGCATTGCATGTCTGGGTGTACTTACATGCATACAGGCAAAACACTCATGTACATAAAGTCAAAAAGAAAAATTAAAAGCAAAGAAAACATGTTTTGTATGTGTGACTTGTACCTCAATTATTAAAAACGTTCAAATATAGCTTTCACATGCATCTCTGAAAATGTATTAAAATTCCTCTTTGGTGTATAAACAAACTTAGGGAGACAAACTTAAAGGTGATAGGAGAGCACACAGCAGCCTGTGTGTTCAGAACAGCTCCTTTCGTAAGGGCACACCTGGGGTTTGGTGCCCAAGGGAGAGTCACAGTTCCATCCAATCCAAGGGGAAAGTGACTTCTGACCTGTGTATGAAAAGCCAGCATGTGTGTCACAAAGGGCCTCAAACTCCAAGCTGTATCAGAGTAGTGAAGGGAAAGAAAAAAATGCAATTGAAGAAGTCCCCAGAAGCCTGCAAACACAAGTGACCTCAGCCCAGGGATCCACACTGACAGCCACACTTTAATTTACAAACACCAAAATAGAAAGCTTGTGAGTACCTAGTTTTGCTTTTACTGAGGGGAAAAAAATAGATATCAGATCCCACCTTTACCACTACTAAACAGCCTGAAGGGCAAAGTCTGAAAGTGAAAATAAAGTCACCTGAAACACTCTTGCAGGCTCTCGGCAGAAGCCATTTATGCAGGCTCAGCTGTGAGGTTTGCCAGGAAGGCAGGCTGGTACTGGAAAACATCAGCACTTGGATAAAAGGCGAAAGACACTTAAGCATGAATGCCTTCTAAAATTGAAAAGCTAATTAAACTTAACATCTTCAAAAAGTAAAGTGAGAAAAGGCAAAAGCTAGCCACAAAGTATTTTCTTACTTTTGAGAATAACAAAAAGGATAGAGAAGAATCATTTGGGTTCATCACTTTAAAATGTTAAGGTCATTTGATTTTTTTCCAGTGAATATTCATCAGGAGCCAATGAGCACCTGTTCTATTTCCCATCTATTTCCACATAAATTTACCAAGCACTGTCTAAGGTATTACAAATTAGGCAGGAATCAGGATTAAGAGTATAAGGCTGGGGCTAAATAGAAGGCTCAGTGGGTAAAAGCACTTGCTGCACAAACGCAAGGCCCTAAGTTCTGATCCCAGCACCCACATAAAAAACCGGGCATGCCCACACACACCTTTAACCCCAGCACTGCAGGGGGTAGAAACAGTAGGACCCCTACGCTTGCAGCTGCCAACCTAGCTTCAGGTTCAGTGAGAGATAAAGATTAATAAAGTCTTTTCCCCCAACTAGGGAATACATAATCTACTGTGAGAACACACCAGAAACAAAAACAGCTTTGACACTATCTCCATCCCCCAGTCTTTTCTGAGAGGGGACCTCAGCTCTGACCCCCACAGTCATGACAGAGGATGGATCATGTTTGCACAGCTGTCTTTCAACCTTGTAGTCCTGCATGATCTATGGAAAGTGGACACAGGCTCCTTCCAGGGACATTAGAAAGAAAAGAAATAAGCAAGTAGTATTATTGTTGGCCAGAATGTTATACAGCACACACAGGGACAGTAGAGGCCCACAGCCCACCAAACAGACAAAACGAGACTGCAGAGAAAGAGCAGAATGGAACACACATGGTTTTACAGAATGGAACAAGGTGGAGAGGGACTCCCACGTGGATGCTCAGTAGCTCTCAACTCACAGTGCGGATCTTCTGAAGCTGGCCAACCTCACCTCCCGTGCATTGTTACAGTGATCCAACCTAAAGTGAGTTTCGTTATTTATAACCAAAGAATCTCGATAAATAGGACAAGAGGCTTGCAATACCAGTCTACCTCAGCACAGGTATGCTTGTGAAGTTCTCGGTGCTAAGAAGTAAGGCCTCCCTGACTCCCCATCCACCTGAGGGCTTAAGAGAGGGGCAAGAGTGAAGGCCTGCTGATGAAAGATGGGATTTAAGTCAAGTCTAGACTGATTTACTGCTTCTGTGGTTGAATAAATCCATTTCACCAACATTTTGTACAGTGCCTATTTTGAAAGTGGGTGTTTCTCTGTAAGAAAGAAGGTTGGCAAGCAGCACCCATATATTAGATGAGCTATGTCACCTCTCACTAATAAAAAGGGAATGCAAATATTCACCTCTGCATTCACAGGATCAAAATGCTATCAAAAGTTATTAACAGGGGGACTAGAGAGATGGCTCAGTGGTTAAGAGCACTGGGTGCTCTTGCAGAGGACCCGAGTTCCATTCCCAGCATCCACATGGTGGCTAACAACCATCCACAACTCCAGCTCCAGGGGATCTGATACCCTCTTCTGACCTCTGCAGGCATTGCACAACACGGATACTCTTATATACATGCAAGCAATATACTCACACACATAAAATAAAAATAATAAATAAAATAATTTTAAAAGTTATTAACAGGTTCAAATTGATGGGCAGATCAAATACAAACTCACTTGGGCTAATGGAACGTTTATTTATCTAAAGCAGGGATTGACAAACCTCCAGGCCAAATCTAGCCTGTTTCCATAAGGCCCGCCAGACAGAATATTTTTTTTACAAAAGAATAGGTGCAAAATCAATTTGATAATAAGGAACCCTAACTTTTAAATGTTATCTCTCCCAAAAATGATTCCATCCTTCTGATTAATAGACTTGTATGCAAAAAAAATTATAGTCATTTATTATTATGATTTTTATAATGCAGAATTTAATAGATGCACAAGAAGTCAACTCAGTCAGGCACAGGTGATAAAATTAATTTTCTCACCAGGGGCATTATATTTAGAATGCAATTTTGCAGATGATGGGACTTTTTGTTCTTAGTTTTGTTTTTCTATAGATGCACATATTGTGATATAGCAGAAAACAATCACAATAATGTCTCAATGAGCAAAGGTGACATCAGACCTTCTAAAAGTTTAACTATTCCCTTTCAGTCTAGGCTAAGCCAGTTTGGATTCTTGCTAGGAACCCCCTCAACTGGACCAAGAGCACATCACCACACACTGAGGTGCTTCCTGGATCATATCCAGACTGGCTTAGCCTAGGCTCAAAGGGATTCTTTAAACTTTAGTTTATACAGTATGTTTTATTCTCATCTGTTCATGACACTTTCCTATTATGTCTATTCAGTACCCTATTGGAACCTCCATGTTTTATTAAAATTAATGTTGATTCAAAGTAGAAACAAGCTTACCTTCTGGGCTCCCTGTCTTAAGAATGCACTGGCAAAAGTTTCCAAAATGCAGTTGAGAAATCCAGCCCCTGTGATCGAAATCCTGCCTCTTTGAATGAACTCTGTCCTGGAAAAAAAAAATTCATTCTTGTGGCTATTTACACAAAATAAGACAAATAAATAAAGCCTTGGGAGTGGGAGGTGGGGGCTAGGGAAAAAGGGAATCAGCAAGAGTGGAAGGGATGAGGAGAGGTAATGGGAGGTGAGTGTGATCACAACACATTCTTTACTTGCAATTGTCAAAAAATATCATTTTTGATGTCATTCTGCATTTTCCTATATTAATTACAGACATTTCCAGCAGTGTAATTACCATTCGTTATCAAGACAAAAAATCCATAATAATTGAATAATTACCTATTACAACAAAAGATTCTGTTTAAAGTTGACTTACAGTTACATAATACAAGCAATAGTCATTTGAATTAAAGAATAGTCATCATGATGCAAAGTGCCTCTTAAAGGAGAACCTCCTACTAACATTTTGCTAAATTGATATAGTATCCCAGCCTTCTAAATACTTATCCTAATACCCAGATATTAGTGCAGTTCTCATCCCACATCAAAGATAGAGGCTATTACAGAAAACCGCAACTGGCCAAAGTGCCGAGACTAGAGAATAAGTGACTGTGAAGTGTTCAACCCTAAATGCAGATCTATGACACAACTCCCAAGGCTCAGGAAACATCACAGAGGACCAATGGAAAGACTGTAAGAGCCAGAAGACCAAGAAGATGGCTGCCAAACCACATCTTCTAGACATGTCAGGGACGGTACATCCATGAGATCGAAATAATTGTGGCTGCCTGTACAAGACCACACCAGTCAACATTCCTGCATGGATGGGGGTGGGGAGGGCTCACAGGCTTCAGCCCTAGTTAAGCAGCTGCAGGTAATCTACAGCATCTGAGGGGAAAGGGTAGGTGTTCTTCAGAGATAAGTCTGCTGATAGGTCACCCATGCCCACGTGTGCAGCCCTACGCCCATGCACATACTGGCAACACTGATTTGACTCAGTAGGGATAGATAGAAAAATGACAGGGCTGGAGAAATGGCTCAGCAGTTAAGAACATTGGCTGCTCTTGCAGAGGACCTGGGTTCAATTCCCAGCATCCACATGGTGGCTAGCAACTGTCTATATCAAAAGTTCCAGGGGATCTGACACCCTCTTCTGACCTCCACTGCCACTGAATGACATGGGTGCACTTACACACATGCAGGCAATACACTCATACACATAAAATAAAAATAAATAAAATGTTAAAAAAAGAAAGATGACCAAACTTGACATAGTGTCACATGTTGGAGTCACAATGCAGATGCACTCAGGTACTCTTGATAGATGATAGATATAAATAGATGATAGATAGATGATAGATAGATGATAGAGATAGATAGATAGAGGTAGATGATAGATGATAGATATAAATAGATGATAGATATAGATAGATAGATAGATAGATAGATAGATAGATAGATAGATGATTGATGACAGATGATAGATTGATGGATGGTAGATGATAGATAAGTAGATGATAGATAGATAGATAGATAGATAGATAGATGACAGATAGTGATTGGTTGATTGATGATAGACACATAGATAGATTGATATATGATGGATGGATGGATAGATAGGTAGATAGACAGGACATGAATTTGAAAGGAGAATGGATCAGGAAACACAAGAGGAGTTGGGGAGAGGGGTGGGTTTGATGCGAATGCATTGTACTTGTATATGAAATTAAGAAAAAAACATTAAAAAAGAACTATCACCCCAAATTTGCAAATGAGGGGACTCCAGTCCAGTTAACATCCACAGACTTTTCTTTTCATGGCAATCAAGACCAAGAGCCCTTCTCGGTATATGACTGACATGAACTTTCCTCATGACAATAAATACAATTAGTTTCTCTCTTTTAAAAAGAAAATGTCTCTTAAAAATTGAATCCCAGACAGTTTTCAGCTTCATGACCTTGGGTAAATTATTTATTCTCTGTAACCAATTTTCTCATATAGAAAATGAGATCATAATATCTTCCTTTTATTACTATTATGATAAAGAAATTAGCACGTGTAACAGAAATATGAAAATGACTGACATACGCTAAGGATTTACTGAATGCTAGCCACTATTGCTAAAGAAAGATGGGCAAATAAGGGCAGAGACTACAAAGCCAGAAGTCTGAAATCTTTACTAAATCCTTGACAGAGAACAGGGGTGATGGGGAGCAGATCTGTGGACACACCTACCAATTTTCATTATCAAAGTTCTACCAATATAAATTCTCTTCACCTCATACAACAGAGGTTTGTATTACACTTGAGAATGATGTAAGATGGCTGAACAGAAAGCCCAAGCTCCTAGCCTTCCATGAAGACACAGATTTAACAAAAATATGCTAACCTAATTGCCTTTATGAGAACTTCCAAGACTGAGTAAGAGGTGGAGCACACCCAAATGAAGGCAGAAAACAGCATGTCAAAGCAGAAGGAAAGAGGGTTGCCATCCATAAATCCCGTTCCAGGATGTTCTTCTGACCTCTGCAGACATTGCATGTCAAGAGTGCACACATACATACAGGCAATACACTCATACTCAAAAATATAATAATAAATAAAACATTTTAAATTTTAAAAAAAAAGAAAGAGGATTGCACTCACTCACTGTATTAGTAACTTCAGTTGTTGCTGTAACAGAATACCTCACATAAGCAACTTAAGGAAGGAGAGGTTTATATTTTTCCTGTTATTATTGTTTTTTTGTTGTGACTCAAGGTTTCATGTAACACAAGCTATTGTTCTCAAACTCACTGTGCCGCTGGGACTGGCCTTAAATTGGCCAGTTTTCCTGCTTCCAACTCCCAAGGGTTGAGATTTCAGGCATGCACCACCCTGCCTAGCTTGTAAGAGAAGCATATTTCAGGTCAGGGTTCATAGGATACAACATATTGTGGTGGGGAAAGCCTGGCTGAGGGCAGCTCTGGTCCATGTCTTTGAGAAGTTGCTTTGCTAACATCTCAGTGGATCCTGGAGCCAAGAAGAAGAATCGGCAATAGACCAGCCCAGCTTTCTCCCATCACTCTGTCCATCAACACACACCTTTTTTTTTTTTTTTTTTTTTTTTTTTGCTAGTGCCTGTCCTTGAGATGCGTCTCTTGCAGGCAACCCACAGATGGATTTTAGAGCTTAGTGTAAAGTGGCTTGTGACAGCTTTCTTGAGACTTTTTATTTTTATTTGTCTTTTTGAGACACAGTCTTCCTGTAGCCCCAGCTGGCCTGGAACTCTCTGTGTAGACCAGGTTGGCTTTAGACTCACAGAGATCTGCCTGTCTCTGCCTCCCAAGAGTGCTGGAATTAAAGGTGTGCGCCACCATGCCCGGTGATGTCCCTTTTTTTTTTTTTTTTTTTTTTTTTTTTTTTGTCTAAGTCCTCAGCCCATAAAACGGTGCCACTCACGCAGGTCTTCCCAGACTTAGGTAACCACTCTGGAAAAGCCCTCTCAAACATACCCAAAGTTAGGCCTCACTAATGCCCTAGGTGTTTCTTAATCCAATCAAGCTGACCACTGAGCATCTAAATTAACCACACATTCAAGATGCTACCTCCCAACCAGTACAGTACAGTACAGCAGAATGGGAATTAAACTCTCAAGCCCTAACTTCTCCCTCCAAAGGTTAAGAGAAGAGATAAATACACATTCGACATTGTAGCTTTATCGGACATTATCTAGGGACACACATAAAGAATCAAGGCTTGAGGGGCAGTTAATATTTAGACAACATGATACGGATTTCCAGCATGAGCCAAGATGGCTGTGAGTCAGCACAAAATAGCTGACACCAGATGTCCAGGGACCCCTAAAGTAAACAGTGATGGAATCTGTTATATAACCAGTTTGGGCAGGAAGCCACTTTGTGTGATTTCCTATTTAAAAAAACCTTGGGTCCAAGGACACATGTGCTCTCACCAGATATCCCCTTGCCCATCAGTTTGTATGCCCTAGCCCAGAGAACCTCCTGGGCTCCTCCCATCTCCTTGTTCCTAGGCCCCCAGACTTGGCCCCCATAACATGGCTCAAAGGACAGAAGGAAAGAACAGTATACCTTAGATGCTTGGCAGTCACAGAGAAAAGCCAGTACTGCAGGATGTTAGAGCAGTTCTGAGTCTGCTATACCACAGACACAATACCAGCAGGAACAAAAGATTAGGTGCTCTTAATTACAGGCCATACTTCTACAACTGAGAAATCATGCACAGTCCTAGAGAAGACATTCAGGAAACATTTGAGAGGCCTGAAACTCTCTACCTGGGTTCTCTGGTGAGCTCCTTCTATATGAAGCCCCGACTTCTCCCTCCAAAGGTTAGGAGAAGAGATAAATACACATTCAACATTGTAGCTTTATTGGACATTACCTAGGGACACATGTAAGGAATCAAGGCTTGAGGACCTGTTAACCCTCTACCTGGGCTCTCTGGTGAGCCTCTTCTATATGAAGCAGGCCCCTAACAAGTGGCTATCATTTTATTTGCCCAAATTTCACAGAAAGATGAGAGGGGAAGAAAACGGCCCAGTCAGAATCAAATAAATCTCTGAATTACCTGACAATGAATTTGACTTTGAAGTAATTGTTTTTAAGATGTTCAATTAGAAAAATAAAACCTACAAAGAAAGAAAAAAAAACAAAATGACATCAGAAAACTGATGCATGAACAAAATTAGAATTAGTTAATTAGCCTCAACAAAGAGAGACTACTTAAAAGACAGAAATCAAGTCAGATGAGCAAAAGGAGTTTGAATGATGAGAGCTCTGGGGACTTATGACATCATGTGGATCCTTTGTGGATCACGGGAACCTCAACAGGAGAAACCAATGAGAAAGGAGAAGAGCCTACATAAAGGTATAACAGCCCAGGCTGCTCAAACCTGAAACAGGAAAGCTGTGCACAAAATTTTAAATCTCAACAAACTCCAACTAGTGTACATCTTCTGAGATGTATACCAGACTCGTTGTAAACTGCCAAGAGTCCCAGAATATGAAAGTAGTAAACGAAGAGTAACTTATC